CCGTGGGGGGGGGGGGGGGGGGGGGGAGGTAGAATACGTCAGATGCAGATGTTGACGTTGTTATTGGTGCTGCTTTGCTGTTGCCGCCGTTGCCATTTGCTGCTACGGTAGTAGAGGTCCCTATTTTGTGCCGGGGTGTGAGCCGAAATTTCACCGGCACTATTCAAAGACAGAACGACTTGGTATTCCAGTGCGTGCGAGCCGAAAACGCCGGCACCATACCGGCACTATTCAACGGCACTATTCAACGGCACTAAACAGGAACCTCTACTGTATTGCCATGGTCTGTTGTTGTATCGTCGCGTTCGATGCCAAAAGACGCTACTGCTGTAGAACCTGTCGACTGTGAGAGTCAGGGACGAATACTCATTGGCAGTGTATGGCAGCCAGGAGGCACCTTCCTCTAGCCATCGCCTCATCCACCTCCGTTTACCTTGAGGGAACGCCGTCGAAAAGGCACGACCATCTACTGTAGCAGCAGCAATCACAGGTGCAGCAAATCTTGTATCCAGCACAAAAAGCACTCACTTCACCGGGGACGAAACACTCTTGATTGGCTGGGAAAACGGCACACTGGCTTGCTGTGGTAGTCTATTGGGGGAAAGCTTAAACTTGAAACTCAGGTGGGTGGGCATTGCTTGGAGTGGTGTTGGTCCTGAGAACCGAAAGGTTGGCCAAGTCTGAAACGCCTACATAACCTCCAAAACAAGAAAAAAAGTTCACAACGGCGAACATTTACACGAAACGCACGCACTTTTTCGTTTTCGCTATCGTTTCGCTGAGAATAGCTTCGAAAAAAACACACAAAAACCATATGCACTCATGGCTTACTCTTTTCGCAAAGATTCTTGAACCTACAGCAGAAGCAGGTGTCCAACCCTTTACCGAGGCTTCTGCGCCTTCCTCTTGTTGTATTGTCGTGCCAGGACCGACATCTCTCGAAGAGATACAGCCGGATAACGCGAGTGATTAAAAACATAGCAACATTCACACATGACCCCCCCCTCACGAGGTCCCGGATCATGGCCTACAGAAGCGTTCTCCGTTTTTTAGCCGCACTGAGGCTGTCATCTTCTGATGGATGGGCCAGTCGCTTTAGCACCGTTTTCCATTTGCAGCCGCTTGGAGACTGACGTCTTCTCACGGGCCAGCCGCATTAAGCGGTCGGCGCCAATTAGTACAGAGAAATACATAACGGAGGTGACGCAAGATACCACACCCTCTGGACCGATTTTCAAAGCTCTTGCGATTACTCCACGACGAAGAGGGTGCATAAATCAAACGACTTTCGGAAAGCTCTCGACGCGGCGGTTCCAACAACACCGGCGTTCTCGGCACCACTATTTTCTGCCGTGGAGTAATCGAGCTTTGGGAAATCGGTCCAGGGGGTGTGGTATCTTGTGTCACCTACGGTATGGTATGGTATATGGTATGGTATGGCACGGTGTGGAGTGATCAAGCTTTGAAAAATCGGTCCAGGGGGTGTGGTATCTTGTGTCACCTACGGTATGGTATGGTATATGGTATGGTATGGCATGGTGTGGAGTGATCAAGCTTTGAAAAATCGGTCCAGGGGGTGTGGTATCTCAAGTCATGCCACGTACGGTAGACTCACACGCACACGCATGCACGTACGCACTCCTGCCGAAGCCGGCCGCTTAGCGCGCGTTCGACGTCGACTCACGCCGTCGGTAGAACCCTTACCCTTTCATTAGAAAGTTTTTTTATTTATCCCGCTTACAAGACTGAGACTGACGTCTTTCCATTGGTCAGAAGGTCAGAGCGGTCGATGGTAATCAAGACAACACACACACACGCGCCTTCACGCCCCCTCTCACGGGGTACCCGATCATGGCCTTTAGCAGCATTTTGTGATCTCAACAGCACTGAGACTGACGTATTGTCTTTTCATTGGTCAGCCGGTTAGCGCGGTGGATGCCAATGAAGAAAAATAAACACACACACACAAACACACACGCATGCACGCACACCTGGCGAAGAATCTTCTGGGCCAGCCGCTTATTGCGTGTGACGCCAACCAGGCAAAAACAAGTACATAGACTCACACCTCCTACGTAGAGACTCACACACACGCACACGCTGACGTCTTTTCATTGGCCAGCCGGTTAGCGCGGTCGATGCTAAAAATAAAAGCACACGCACATGCACGCACGCACACACACCTGTCGAAGAATCTTCTCCTCCGAGGAGACAGCGCCGAGCCTCAGGTGCGCCGCCGGGCTCGCCTGAGACGCTATCCTCGCCATCGCCACCGCCTTCACCCCCATCCCCTTCATCCTCCCCCCGAACGCCCTCATCGAGGAAGACACCTTGGCCCCCTCGATCCCCAGGCCCACCAGACCCCCCCTGCCCCCGCCAGCCGCCGGTAACCCCTCTCTCCCTCCTCCGGTCCCAGAAGACGCCTGCCCCACGGGAGACGCCTGCCCCGGGTTGTTAGACGTTGCCCCGCCACCACCAGCATCAGCCCCACCCCCCAGCAGCTGCGCACTCTGCGGCGCCCCGGCGGTGGCAGCGGTAGCCGCGGCCGCAGCCGCAATGGGACCCAGCCCCCTGGCCCTGGAGACGCTCACGTGGACCACGACCATGCCGTGGGCGAACGCCTCTTCGTCTGCCGAGAAGAGACCCTGCCGGTGTCGCTCCTTCCTTGCTCTTGCGCGCCACGCCAGGGCCGCGTGCTTGAGGGAGTTGTGCACCGGGAAAAGGAACTGCAGCGGGATCTGGAGAGGGGGGGGAGGGGGGGGGGCGGGGGGGGGGGTACTCATTGTCGTGCATGCCGTAGTCGTTAGACCATTGACCTCGCGTCGCTTCAAAGCCGGGACGGAGGGGGGGGGCGTGACTTATCCTTTGCATGCCTCAGCTGTTTTAAACCATTGACCACGCGTCCTCGAGAGGGCGGAGCACAAGATCGATCACCGATGGCCAACCGTTCTCTTCCTACTTTGCCAAAGGTGGATAAAAAAAGTCTACCTTATCTTCTCGATGTCACTGCCCGCCGTTCATAGCCCACTGGGGGGGCGGGAGGAAGTTGGAGGGGGAAGGGTGTACCATGTTTGATCTGAGCGCGGCGGGAATAAACAATTGTTATTTTGTGTGGCCGTGGAGGAGATGTAGACTCTCCCATCTCAGGGAACCCGGCGGCGTCACGCATCTACGATCAACATCGACAACAGAAATGCCAGAACCACAGCAAAACTGCAGCAGCAGCAGCAGCAACAACGACGACGAAGCATCGGGGGCTTCACAGTTAATTGCACCCACTCGCCTTGAAGGTATACTTTCCCTCCACGGCAAGCTCCTGGCACACCACCAGCTCCCACGCCTCCGCGGACGCCGTTAACGAGCTGCCTACACCACCGTCGCCGCCGCCGCTGCCGCCGCTGTCACCGCTCCCGCTACCCCCCGCTCCAAACCCGCTTGCCCCCCCAAACCAATCAGCGTCCTCTTCCGCACCGGCGCCATCAGTCACTCGCCTTCGAAAATATAGAGCATAAAAAATAGAAAAACGGTGGTGGGCGGGGAGGGGGGGGGGGGGGGGTCCTGCAGATTGGGTTTGGGGATGGCGCGGGAAGGTACATGTACCCGATATATTTACCGTCACGTTTTGAGAGTGGTCGAGGGAAGGAAGCGCGGTTTCGGGTGCGGTGCAATCCGTGGAATGCGGCACAACCATGGGTCGCGTTGAAACCATGCCTGTGCCACGCGATGCCCACCGACGCTAACTTGTCCTCCACACATCTTGAGAGAACCGGCTTCCAGCTTGCAACTTTGGCAGGTTCCACTGCAAACGCGTACCATCGAGCATGCCTCCCGCCCTCTCTCTCACAAACAGGGTTCCCTGAAGACCTATGCCCAGCCGTGGATGCTACTCCTTTAATCTACATACCGTACGTTGTACCATACAATAAGACATTCAACCCCCTTTTGACCAATTGTCAAAGCTCGACGTGAAGTTACGGATGCCACAGCAACCACAATAATTCATTTTCGGAAAAAGGTCTCGACCGAGAGGCGGTTCAAAAGCCACCACCGTCGCCTTTTTTTCCCGCAGAGCAACCGAGCTTTTTAAAACTCGGTCCAGGGGGTGTGGTATCTACCGCAATCTACGGTAGTCCATTGCTGTTCCCACGGCGTTGTTCATTGGTGGAGCGCCTAACCTGAGCCCTGAAAATTACCGTAGCCCTCGCAGGGTTTTCCGCATTATGTAAACATGCTGAGTAAATATACAATCGGGGAAGTTGGGTTATAGGGTTGGGGTTAGGGAGTAGGGTCTGCGTCTCCCCTCCCCGTTCCAACTCCTCGCAAAACTTAATAATCGCGCGAAGGCGGTCCAAAATTGGGTCCAGGGTGTGTGTGTGTCATCTTACGCAACCTATGGAAGTCAAGATTCCCCATGACGTCGCGGACCGCCTAACCTGATGGCAGTGAAGAAGGTGACCATGGGGTTGAACTTCTCGACGGCCGGGTTGGACACCCCCCGTGGGGACATGGACAGGGGCCGGGGGAGCGGCGGATAAACCCGCCTCACCGCAAGGAAGGCTGTCGGGTACCGCTCTGACTGAAGCCCGCTAAACACGCCGCACTGTTCGGCCGGGGGGGGGGGGAGGGGGGTACGTCGACGAGGGAGGGAGCAGGTGGTGAGATGCTGTGTTGGGAGGGTTCATTCCTGCCGAAGGAGGGTTGGCTGTACCTACAGCTCCACATCTCATGACGAAAGCGCGCCACGCCAGCCGCGAAGCAAAGGATTGCGTAGGGGATGGGTACTGTCTTACTGGGCGCCAGGGAGGGATGCGCCGTTCTGGCAAGCCTCAATCAAGCGCTAGTGTAAGCCGTGATAAACAATAGCCCGGGTGTAGGCAAGCCTCGAGCATTAAGGCAAGCTGTGATTAACCGAGGGTGGTGAATATGTGTATACATATCGTCTACTCTCCGCCGAGACTCGCCGAGTCCATTCAAACCACCTCCCCACGGTATCGAGAGTACCGCAGTAGACTATGCTGCTCAGAGAAAAGGTGTCGAGAGTATCACTGTGGACTATGCTGCTCAGAGACTGCACAGGTTGGTCATGTACATAATGAAGTCAAGGCTATGCTGGAGTCCTTGTCTGTTGATAGAGACGAATTCGTTGGGTGCTGGTAAGAAAAAATAGCAATAGAAAAACTCGAACCATTTGCAGCCAATAGTTCGTTGCAGGCCACCGGTGCCTAATACCATCACCTCGTGATAACTTCTGTACAGCACTAGACCGCAACCTCTTCCCCAAGGCACAAGCAATGGTCCACCTCTCCCTCACCTTTCGCGGGCCCGTTGGCACGGCCATCAGGTTATCCCAGGACAGAGTTAGCGATCCCCACAGGGCCTTTCGCAAGCGCGGTGCAACGGAGCCGGATGTCGGACGACCATCATTAAGAGACAAGACACACAACAGAGCAACACATGCCATTTTCTGGGGATAAACGCTTGGTTTTACGCTCACAATCAAGGTCCCACCTTATAGACACTCATGGCTTCTCTTCAACAATAGCGTCCTCAAAGCGGGGAAGCATCCGAAAAAATTGCACCCCTGTATTGTTTTACGATCTGCGGGGTCACCATGCTCGTGAAAAAGATGGGGCGTCCATGAAGCGGGCGGGACTGTTGAGTATTTTCGTATTTTCCCTTCTGCGCGTTTCACAACGAACACACCAACATCATAAAAAAAACAACCAGCCCGAGTGGCATCACGGGAAGGAACGACGAAACGCGATAACACTTTCTCACCCGACGAGAACGGTTGACGACCTGCCACAGCTCCACCACAAAAACAACCATCGTTTCTTCACCCCCCCCCCCATCCCCGCCTCCGTTCGTCCCGGAACCCCTGTTCCCCGGAACCCTCGCGGGGATCGAAAAATGCACGATCCCCTCCTCCGACATGGTCATCGGCCGCTGCTTTCCTCCCTCCACCCCACCCTCCCCTCCGCCGTCCGGAAACCCGGACGGGGATGCCGATCGGCTAACGGCGGCGGGCGACACGGGTTGCTGCCCGAAGGTCCTGTGCTCCGACTGGTAAAAGACGGTGGGGGTGTTAGGTCTGCCGCCGGCCAGCAGCATCGCCGATCTCGCCGGCACGACGGAGAGGGGCCGGTCCCCTGTCGATCGGCGAGCCAGGGCGGGCGGGGCAGGCATCCCTGGCATCCCCCCCCCTCCGGCGGCCGGCGTTGCTGATGTTTCCTCGCTCGCTGAGAGAGTCAGCATCCTGAGACAAACATGTTGCAGTTAGCGCACGCACTTTAAGAACTTGGGAGTTAAGAAAAAGAGCCTTGAAAAAGTGAAAAAAAACGGAGAACTTGAGGACCATTGGTGAGCTCGGTTAAGAACCGTTACACTAAACCACCTATAAGCCGCCATTCATAGCATAACCCTAGGCCTACGAACTCCAGCCTAGGCAAAAAAAAATAGATGTTCCGAAGTGCGGGCGCTAACTGCTGTGTATGCACGCATGCGCAGAAGGTTTTGGACACGGGGAGGGAGGGAGAGGACGAGGGAGTTTCACCCATGCAAATGCATGCTTTGGTCGTTAGACCATTGACCTCGCCATCCCTACAATTTTGGGAGGAGGGATCCCGCAAACCGGGTATCGGGGACAAGGGGGGGGGGGGGGCGTGCATGCTGTAGTTGTCGTTAATCCAGTGACCTCGCATCCCTACAAAGCCGGGACGGAGCACGCCGGATTTCCACCGGACCAGGCTCTCACATCACCAAGCGCGAAGCGACGTGAGGTATTCGCATGGAGGGTGCGCTGCCAGCAACGGCTGTCGCAATATATTGCTGACCTGCTGCAAGGTGTGTTCTGAGTATGGCATGTACGATGAGTTCTTCAACGCATATTGTAGCAACGTTCCGACCCAGCGCGTTCTCGCACAACGCATAGCAACGTTCCGACTCCAGCGCGTTCTCGCACAATGCCCCAGAAACACACACGCCAAAAACTGTTTTCTCAAGTGAAAATTTCGGCGGTACAGCAGTAGTTGTACGGCGTGATCGCACTACTGTTTTATAGTAACAATCATACAATCATGGATGACCTGTGCGGTTTGGTGAAAACCGCGCAGAAAGTGCCGCGTGGAGTCTACACCTCCAAGCCAAGCGTACATACCATCCTTTTATCCTAACCACCTCACAGCAATCCCACACAACGACTCACAGTGTGACAACCTCTTGTCTTTCACCGACCACGGCGGTGTTGAGGGACGAAAGCCAGCCTTTCTTGGGCGCCTCCTTTTGCTGCTGCTGCTGCGGCGGCGCGACTTCGGAAGCCATCATGCCCTTGAGGCTTTTGTTCGCTGCGATCTTAGAACCTCCCAAGCCGTGCACAGAAAAGGCGAACAGGGCATCGCCATGTTCCGGTGCTCCCGGCAAGTCATCGAGCGGGATGGTGCTTGTCGCGGGCATCGTGCGGCCCAGCCCGTAGAAAAGACGTCACTTGCTGACGGTGTGTCTTGGTTTTGGCAGCAGCGCGTGCTTGGTATCCCGCGGTGGTTGTTGCTGCAACGCACTTGCACTCCCCACACTGAACCTATTTTGCTCTTTAGATCTAGGGTGCGTGTGTGCAACACACTTTCCAGACTTGTTCTGGCTGAATCGGGAGGAAGCCAGGCAGGCAACACACCCAAATCACTCGGGCTAGAGGCACGGAGTAGCCGCGCCCTGCCTGTTGATGTTGCGTGGGTGAAGCTCGACGCACATCAATGACAGAAGTCAACCGGCGGGGGCCCATGGGTGCACAAGGAACCAACTACTGTACGGGTATGTGCATGCGGCGTAACCAACAATCATTTGATTGTCGGAACCCCCTTGATGTTGGTCGGCAGCGATACACTGCACACTGGACCTCCACCGCACACAAGTGCGTGTCAGGCCCACAACAGCCAGAAGTGTGTGTGGTGGGTAGCGCGATTATCGTGTTTCTGCCGACGAAATCACTGGCCCCCCTATTCTTGTGGGGTGAAGAGAGAGAGAGCTCCTTGAGAGCGAGAAGCAATAGGCAAGCACACCTTCCTGGAGAGAAACATGACGACAGACCTCCGGCCACGCTTTGTCCTCTCTCTCTGCTTGCTGTTGGACCCATGCGGTTCGTTCTTGCACAGCAGTCGCGGTGTTGGTTGTCTTCCATGCCCTCGACTGGTCCAGCGCTCGCCACTTCCTCGCGGCCAGAGGCTCTCCGCAACGATGTCGTCGGTGCCGGCGGTTGGGCAGAAGAAAGCGAAGCGAGAGCCGCCCCGTCTGCTCGAGAACTTGGAGGTATGCGGGTACTGCAATGACCGAGTGACCGCGCTGCGTTGGTTCACTTTGCTCCCCAGCAGGAGTAGTACATACGGGGGCAGCTAATCGGCGGTTAGGTGTACAGTATTCGTGGTGTGATGCGCTTCCTTGTTGCGATATCAACCAAGAAACATTTGGGGTGTAGTAAACCCTATGATTCGCCAAACATGAGGCGCATGGATCTCACGGTGCTTGGTACACGCGGCGAGCGGGACAGGCATCGAGAGCGAGGGGGGTGGTAACACTGCACACCGACTTTCTATCGAGGCTGTGCTAGCGTATGGTTGGACGAATCGGCGTGGGTTGTTGTTGTTGTTGTCTTCACATCAAAAACCGCTCCGGTCTCCGCTCAGTACCTTCTATTGTCCGACTGGTTCAACCGACGCGGACACCTTCCGTGGTAGCAAACTTTTCAAGTAGCTAAATAGAAGGGGTACACCTTCTAGAAGGAAAAGGTCCGGTGAAAATCTTGCCCAATCAGAACATTCCATTCTTCCCCAGATCCGTAGGAAACCTACCCACACTCATTGATTGATCGAGAAAATACCTGGTGGTACAGTAGAGTCGAAGGGATGTGTTGAAGTCTGTCCTGCAACATGAGTGAGTGGAGAAAGAAACCTGCTGGACACGAGTCCTACCTTGAGTCTGTTTTAAGCCTCCATGTACGCTGAAGGATCAGATCCTGCCGAAGGCTCGCTTCATGGGCAGGCAGCAACCTACGATGCGTACTACCGTTTCATCGGACCCTGATTCTTGTCGTCGTGCCGGCCTCGCTCAGGTGGGCGAGAGGTTAAAGGGCGTGGTGGTGACCGAGCTGGACGGGACAAGCGGCAAGAAGGCGTGGGTGAGAGTCGGGGTGATGCGGCGCGCCAAGGGGGGCAAGTTCTCGCACGTGGACGGCATGATCCGGCTGAACAAGGAGAAGGGGCTCAAGCCGAAGAAGGTGGCGGTCGACAAGCCAGTCACCGTCTACGTCAGCAAGGTACCCCGTGGATGTGATGCCGTTGTCGTCAAATCGTTAGCCTTCGCAAGAAATTTAAGCTTAACAGGGTTACGGGGTGGTGTGAAGGGCTAGGGTTAGGGATGGAGATACGAATCCCCCCTCTCTATTTCATAGATTAACAATCAAATCCTCGCGACGCTGGTCCTATCGTATCTTGTAGGCGGTGGCGGTAGTTGATTTGCCGGCCTGCCGTTGGGAGCTTGTTACCCTTGGAGCAGGACGGTTTGTAGAGTGCTGCTGCGATCGGCAGGCCTGTAGCTTCGCCAGCAACAATATAGGGCTACAGCACACACGACGATGTAGGGCTCCAAACTGCCACGCAACCTTGAGGGGGCGTATCGGAGTACCGTAGGTTGCATCAGATATCACACCGCCTGGAAAGCAGTGACGGTGCCGAAAATGGCGGGGTTGGAACCGTCTCGTCGAGAGCATTTCCGAAAATGCATACTTCGGTTTTGGCATCTTTTTTGTCGGGGAGTAGTCGAGTTATGAAAATCGGTCCAGGGGGTGTGATATTTTATGAAACCTAGGGTTTTTTTTCCCACCCCAACCCCAGGGGTGGAAAGCACGAAAAAAGTTTTTGGGGCACGCACGATAGTTCCCAAGGTTAGTTTTGGGCCCAATTTTTTTTTAGAAAATGGGTTAAAGTACAGGTTTGCATAAGAAAGAGGTTATAGGCCGAAAACCAGGGTATCACCATGAAGGCCGACAGCAGCCAGTGAGAAAAAAAACATTTTACAGGGGCCACCTGGTTGCCCCCCCCAGGCCCGGGCCCATTCCCCTGAGCCCCCCCCCCCCCACCTTTGGCAAAGTAGGAAGGAACCATTGGTCATCGGTGATCTGTCCTGTGGGAACAATGCTCCGTCCTCTCGAGGACGCGTGGTCTAGCAGCTAAGGCATGCAAAGCATGAGTAACCCCCACCCGCCCTTGGTCCGTCCCGGCTTTGTAGGGATGCGAGGTCAATGGTCTAACGACTAAGGCATGCACGACTATGAGTACCCCCGCCCTTGATCTTGAAAACGAAAAAAAATCGCGAGCAGGTGATCGAGGCTGAGGGACGGTTAGAAGTATCCCTTCGTGCCCCCAAGCCCCTCGCTCCCATCGTTGACACCTCAACCCTGAAGCCGCTCGCGGACCTCAAGCACGGCGAGGAGCTCACCGGTGAGCGATGAGGAAAGCAGACCTAGTTGGTCGTCGGCCAAGCAAGGCCGCTGTCGTACAGCAGTGGGCGGCCGGAGATCAGAAACTTCGGTCGAGGCTCATTTTCTGATTTGATGCCAAGCTACCGTAGGTTGCACAAGAATTCACACACACACCCTGGACCGATTTTCAGAGCTCGATTGCTCTGCAGCCAATACAGTGACGGCGCCGAAAGTGGCGGCGGCGTTGGAACCGTTTCGTGGAGAGCTGTCCGAAGACGTAGCGTTTGAGTTTGGCGTCTTCAATGTCGTGCAGGAACCGGGCGTTAGAACTCGCTCCAGAGGTGTGTGCGATATGTTATGCAACCTGCGGTAGACCAATGGCCCCACGATGGCTGCCCTCTGAAAAAAATTGGAAGCCAAGCCGTCATTTCTTGCCGTGCTTGCTGCTACTTTCGTGTTGACAGCACTAGCGGGGGGTGGTATTAATCGCCGCCTACGCTTCTGCGTTTGTTGACGTCTACGTTCTTGTCGCCTTATTTCTCTGTCTCTCTCTGTGTCTCTCGCTGTCTCTTGTTTGTTTTTCTGAGATGTATCGCAACGAACCCATTCCCCTATCTTGTTCATTTTTCTTTCTCCTATCGCGACGAACCCATCTCTCTCTCTCTCTCCCTCTCTCTCTCTCTCCCTCTCTCTCTCTCTTTCTCTCTCCCCTTCCCCTCGTCAGCATCGAAAGGATGCGGCAAACAACAGCAGTGAGGCAGTTGAATATGTCTGTTTTTTTCTTGTGTCGCAACGAATCCATATATTTCTTTTGTTTGTTGTCTGGAAGGCGTCGTCAAGACGGTTACTCAATTCGCGGCGTTCGTCCAGTGCGGCGTCGGCCGACCCACACGGCGAAAACGCCGGGACGGTAAACCCATGGTAATGGAGGAGGTGGACGGGTTCTTGGGGAAGGACGACGTCCCGGAGGACGCTGCGCTCTCGGCGCAGCTCGTCAAGACCCAGGACCAGACTAACATTATTTCAGAGGGTGAGAATTTCTGGAATCTGTTGTTGTTGTTGTTGCTGTTGTTGTTGCTGTTGTCGTTGTTCCAGAGGGTGGCAGTCTCTGGGTGCTGGTGCTGCTGCTGTTGGTGCTGTCGTTGTTACTGTTTTAGAGAGCGAGAGTCGTTTCTGGGTGCTGCTGTTGTTTTAGGCTGTTGTCGAAGGTGTTGGTGTTCATGTTCATGTTCATGTTCATGTTCATGTTGTTGTCGTCGTCGTCGTTGTGGTTGGTGTTCCTGCAGGAGAATTGCGTCCTGTCGTTGCCGCCGCGGTCTTCGGGTGCTTGGTTTTCCTTCCGAAATCAACGCGTGATACATGTGGTTTCATCGTTGTTGGTCGATGCAGAACGCACTCGCACTCAAGAACCCAGGAGTAAGGAAGTCGAGCCTTAAAAAAAATCAAAAGTTCAGAACTTGAGCACCATTTGTTAGTTCTCGATCAAGAACCCCTACACTAAAACCTATACAGCGACCATTCGTAGCACGATCCTATTATAGGAACTACCGTATACGACACAAGATAACACACCCGCTGGGCCCATTTTTCAGAGCTCGATTACTCCACGACGAAGAGGATGCACAAACGAAACGATTCGTTTTCGGAGAGCTCTTGACGAGACGGCTTCAGCCCCGCCGTTTTCGGCACCCCCACTCTTATTGCTGTTGAGAAATCGAGCTTTGAAAATCGGGCCAGGGGGTGTGTTATCTTGTGTCGTATACGGTAAGAACCTCAGCCTGGGCCGAAACTGTTCATAGAGGTTCTTGAGTGCGGGCGCAATCTGATGTAAAAAAACAGAGTCAAGGGCGTACTTCTATTTTTTTTTTATCAACCTTCTTGCCCTTTTGTTAGTCCCGGACCGCACATCTCCATCTTGTAGCGGATAGGGGTGCCAGATGAAGCAAGCGCATTCGAGGAGGTCCGTCCGGTGTTCGTGAACACCCTTCGTCGTCTTGGACCGCGACTCGACGTCTCTCTGGTGCTGTTCTCGGCATGTCTCAATGGAGGGAAATAAGAAGGCGAAAAAACAGGGTAGTACATGACAGGCACACTAACAACGCCGATGATTTGTGAACCCGCTTTTTCTCGGTTGTTCTCGCCGTGTCTCAAAAGAGACCAGCAGGAACCACACATACATATTTCGCCGCTACGCTAACCCGATTTGTTCGCAGGGAACAGGACGAATGTGCTCTTTGTAAGGAAATAACGAAAACTGAGGGAGAAAATTGGAAGCACAGCACCGCCGATACGTTTACTCCGCCTTTTTCGCAAGGGACAGGATACAGGGACAGGATGAAGGTGCTCGTTATAGGGAAGAAACGAAAAAAGTGGTCCAAGTAAATTGCAAACACGCCCAACACCGCCGATATGGTCTACCCCTTTTTTCTCACAGGGAGCAGGATGAAGGTGTTCGTTTAAAGGAAAGACGCGAAAAAGATGGTAGTAAAATACTGACACACCAACACACCGCCGGTATGGTCTAACCCGCTGTTGTCGCAAGGGGCAGGACAAAGGTGTTCGTCAAGGAGAGAAGCGAAAGAATGATAGTATATTTCAAACACACTAACACCGCCGGTATGGTTCAACCCTCTTTTTGTCGCAGGGGACAGCAAAAAGGTGTTCGTCTAATTGAAAGAACGAATTGAAATGGTCGAGATGCATTGCCAACATACCAACACCGCCGATGTGGTCTACCCCACTTTTTTTCGCAGGGGACAGGGGACAGCAAAAAGGTGTTCGTCTAAAGGAAAGAACCAATTAAAACGGTCCAGATGCGTTGCCAACGTACCAACGCCGCCGATATGGTCTACCCCGCTTTGTTCGCAGGGGACAGGGTGAAAGTGTTCGTCAAGGAAACATTTCCCGGTAACGGTAGGTTCCACGTTACCCTGGACCCTAACGTCTCGGCCGAAGACCTGAGGCGGATGAAGAACGAGGTACAGAAGAAGAAGTCCAAGTTTGCCAGGAGGAAAGAGACGGGGGATCTGGTGGAGGGAGAGGAGATACTTGGAGGCATCGTGAGGGTGAGAGGCAGTTAGTTGGAGGGTGGGGAGATGCTTGGGGGCACCGTGAGGGTGAGAGGCACAGAGTTAGTCGGCTGTATCCCCTTGTATTTTTTTTTTTCATCCCGTTTTATTCCTTACGCCGGTCTTTGCACCTTTCGGAACGGTCTTTTTTTAAATAAAGTACAGAGACTCAATAGAAAGACTGCCCTTTCGAGATAATACCTCAGTCGAAGGGGATGGGTTGGAGTCTTCACAGTGAATGGGGGAAAAATCACGGTATTTCACGGAGCGTTTTTTTTCCACGGAGCAGATCGGAGCAGAGCGGTTTTAACCGCTCCGCTCCGCTCCGTGATACTTTCCCTCCAGAAAAAACGCTCCGTGACCAGATAGACAAAACCGCTCCGCTCCGTGAGAATTTGGCCCTCGGATAAACCGCTCCGCGGAGCTTCCCAAAAATCCGTACAAGCGGTTTTTCCACGGAGCGGTTTGAGCTCGCCCGGGAAACCCGGAAGAGAAGCGTTCCGAAGAGAAGAAGTGGAATGAAAGGAACATGAGGCGCCCAAAGACCCAGGACAGGTGGTGCTGGGCCATGCGAGAGAGGAGAGACAGACTGATGATGGTGTGTGATCGCACCCCTGTGCGCTGACTCGCAACCTTGCGGTACCTGTGCTTGTCTTTCTCGGGCATGCTCGTCGTCCTGTCACGACACGTGTTCGTCTTGCTTTCGGTTCTCGTGTGTTTCGGATCCCCTCTGTCCTCCTTTGTGTGTATGTGTTTTTTTTGGTGCGTGCTTCCATCCCCATCTTGGTTATTCCGGCTGTGATCAGCGTGAATGTGCCTCCCGCTCTCTGCTGCTGCTGCTGCTGCTGCTGCACTGTTAGGTATTGGAGTTTGGGTTCTTCGTTGATGTCGGTGCGAAAGCTAATGGCCTGGTGCACATTTCTTCGATCAGCGAGAAGGAGAACAGGTAAAGGCGAGCGTTAACGTGTCGGTAGGTAGGTATGCGTGTCCGCATCGACTGCTGAATGTATACTGATACATCCGAAAAAAAAAAAACCTCTTGCACTAAAACCTATGTAGCGGTGATTCGCGGCATGACCCTAGGAACTAAGAACACCAACCGCAACCCAAACTAGACGTTCTAAAGCGCGGGCGTTGTCTGTCGCGAAGTTCAGTCGTGGTCCCGGAATACCGTACCGTACCTTACCGCGGTGTTAGTGACAGGCAGATATCACCGCGGATATCGGGACACGGCACTACTGAGATTTGGGAAATATATAGCTTTGAGGATGACAGCTAAATCCTGTTCCAAGCGATTTTTACCGCGGTGTGTCGGGACACTGCACTAGTTTTGTGGAATATATAGCTTGTAGTATGGTAGCCAAATAGTGTGACAAGCGATTTTTACCGCGGTATATGGGGACTACCACGTACACGGGCCGGCACCCCAAAAAACAGGTACCTGGACAACCTCAATGAGTTCGCGAGTGTGGGGGACAAGATGTACGTCAGGGTTAACGGAGTCGACGAAGAGGGGCGGCTGTCGCTGGCCTATGCTGCGAGGGAAAAGGACAGACCGAAACCCCCGAACCGGCGGGAAAGGAGGCGTGCAGCGAGAGGGGACCAAGGGGCCGCGGAGAACAAGGGTAACTTTTTCCGGTCTAGGTTATGCACCTCATCGTTCAAGTCAAGTGGTTTTCGAGCGCTACATTGAAACCAAGTCGTGTTTCAGGCAGGGGGGAGAGCGGTTGAGGTTTCGGAGTTGTTGACGAATGGTGTTTGTGGGCACGTACGTGCCCGTGGCTGCTGCTGCAACTCAAGAAGAGAGCGCATTTTTTTTTTTGAACAGTAGTGCTAAACGAAGAAGGACTGACGCTTTCGTGAATCCCACAAGAGCAGTATCGACATCGAGCATATGAATAATGGATACGTCCCGATTTTAGACTCTCCAGAAACGGGATTTTTTGGTCATACGTGAAGTACGGTTCGTTGTGAAAATGAGCAGACAAATCCGCCGACAAAAAGTGGTGTGGTGATGTCCCGCCCTCCACTGCCCTCCATACAAGTCTGGTAAGATGCCGGAAATATCCGTCACGACCTGGTTGACAAGGTGGCAAGGGGGAAAGGTTGTGGAAGTACCAGTAGATCTGGAATGATCCGCGGAATATCGTAGTCGGGAAAGTACGAGGAGGTCGGACGAAAACCTCAAGAGAGGCAGCTAGCCATGTTGACGGTAAATTCGGGGGAAGGAAGGCGTGTTTGGATAGGGATGGGTAGGTAGTCAACGTCCTAACGGCTACCCAACGGCCTAACGGCTACCTAACGCAAGCATCACACGAGCACAGAGTAGTGGTCCCGGTATAGTGCCGGTTGAATAATGCCGGTGATATCGCGTGACACATACGGAATATTCAAATATTCAAGTTGTTTCATACTCTGAGTGATGCCGGTTGTCCGCAATAAAATACCGGATGAAGGGGCTGGTACCTGCCGTATTTTTCGGTATTTTTACGGAATGCCGTTCCGGGATTCTTGCGGGACCACTATTACTGCACTCACTTCCTTCCCCCGCCTCGCGCGCCCCTTCACACGTCACACCGCTTTGTTCAGGAGATGAAGGCACCCAAGAGGAGGAGGAGGACGACAAGGATGGAGGCTTTTTGTTCGAGCCTTCTTCCGCGGGGAGCGGGGGCAGCGTGGACGACGACGAAGAAGCCGAGTTTGATATCTTCGAGGACATGTAGACGTTTGTGGCGCGTGCATGGTTTTTTGCGGATGTGTGTGTGCGTACGCACTTGACGGCCGAACCAGCGCAGGATCATTCATTGTTATGGTGGCAGGGGCTGTGTCCCGTCAGTTGAACAGAACGAAGCGTGTCTAGAAGCACATGTGTGGATTTGGTGACGATGATCCGATGTCACCGCCATGTTAGTTTATTGGTTCCTAGAGGCAGGCGTTTTTCGAAGCACATCTTGGTTTACCGACGACGGTGATCAAAGTCATGCACTAACACAATCTGGGCTTCCATTGATTGGTGATCAACGTCATTCACTAAGACAATCTGGGATTCCATTGATTGGTGATCAACGTCATTCACTAAGACAATGTGGGATTCCATTGATTGGTGATCAACGTCATTCACTAAGACAATGTGGGATTCCATTGATTGGTGAACAACGTCATTCACTAAGACAATGTGGGATTCCATTGATTGGAATCCCTACAAGGGCCGTTTTGTTTCGGGGCACCTCTTCTTTGGTTCTTTCTACGCGATCGAAACATCACCCACGGAGACAACCTAGAATTGATTTGGATTCCTATATTCGAAAAAAAAAACTGTGCAGGACACGGAGGCCGCTTCGCGAACCACTCAAGCACCATCACACACTTAGCCGTGACAAGTCTGAGCGGACGATCTGATTGGTCAAAGACGGATGGTGCGGTCGGTTTCCTGGTCAGCCACATTCTCCAACTCCATCGCACAAATCGATGAAGCAACCACCATATCTCGTGTCTCTATCCCACGGCCCCTCGCAACAGAACAGCGGTTTTCTCTGTCGGCCAAGACCGGCGTTATTACGCACGCAAAGAAACTACTTGTAGCAGGTACATTAATTCCCAAGCACCCTCTTCCAAGCTGCTTGTTCCTCTACGAGGCCGTTGCGGTCTCTAGAGGTCTCACAGACTCACAGAACGTTAAAAAAAACATGGGGAATGAATGAACGAATGATCACGTTCACTCCGATTCTCCGAACCACGCACTTTTTTCAGCCGAACGCCCGAGGCGCGAAGAATCGGACCATCGGCCGTCCTGCACTGAATTATACGCCCCCAGCAAAAGGAGGTAGGTACAGTAGTGGGCCCTACAAGTGCCGGTTGAATAGTGCCGGGTGCCGGTTGAGCGCCGGTGTTTTCGGCTAGCACACACTGAAATACCAAGTCGTTATGGAATTTGAGTGGTGCCGGTGTCCGGGTTATTGCTGACGAAATCTCTGGACACATACAATACCGGCACTGCTGTAGTAGGTGGGTGTGTGGAGGCACACAGCAACCTGACCTTGAGGAACCCAAGACGCCGGTAAAAATACAACCGGCAGAACCTACACAAACCACTTTCCACATCCACTTCCTCCTGCCGTCGTCTTCATCACAACCGCCCACACGATATCGGTAGGAAAAAATATCTGTCAGAGCTACAGCGGCATTGATATGTAAGGCCGTAGCGTGCCAAGGATTTGTCCGGGCCTTAAGTCGGGCAGGATCCCGGCACTATTCAGGGAATAAGACGACTTGAATTCTTCTTTGTCTTGGGTCACAAAATTTCATTGGCCCCGGGCGACCTGCCTTGTTAATACGGCCTTTTACAGCGACCGCTACTGCTTTTGTACTGCTCCACACTTAGTTTTCATGCATCTACCCCGTGACCCAAGGCAATTTTTGCGAACAAAAAAGCAAGTCCCCCAAGACTTCAGACTTCGCTTGCTGCCCGCTTCTTGTCCCCACCTAGTTCAAGTTGGAAACATTACAAATTAAAAATCTTCTGTCCCAACCTCTGGGTAAGGGCTTTTGCAGAAGAAACCAAACACGAATTTGTGTCGATCTTCATACATACAAGGAATCATCGACCATTCAAGTTTTGCTCGGCGTGCGACAAAGAAAAACGCCATCAAGTTGTCATCAAGTTTTAGTAGTGTTGTCACCTACTTCATGCAACAGCAGTTATATTTTGTACTGCTTAGCAATATATCGAATATCAAAACACCTCAACGCAGAAAACCTGCGAAATGCAGCAGCACACTCGGGGCAAAAGTAACAAAGTCAGACCCCAGCAACCTCAATAAGGCTGCACATACACACACGGTTAGCGCGGTCGATGCCAATCATAAAGACGCACACAAAAGTACACGATACTTTGAGAATACTTCTTTCTGAGTGTCGCTACACCAGAAACCAGAGTAGTACCGTAGGCGACATGACGGAGGTAACCAACCCCCCCCCTGCACCGATTTTCAAAGCTCTACTATGTAGTCTACTCCACAAGCAGAAGAGAGTGCTGGTACCGAAGAGTTGGAACCGTCTCCATCATGTATCCGAAAACATCTCCGTTGATTTCTACGTCCACTTCGCGGAGTACTCGAGCTTTGAAAAATCGACCCAGGGGGTGTGATATCTTACGTCACCTACGACAGTAGTACAATGGTGCATCCTTCCCCACAGTATACGGCACACTACAAACAAGATCCACATGCATGCGAAAACCAAACAGGACAAAGTTCGCGCAGTACTTGTTTTTGGCCACGCCGGTAAAGCGGAAAACAGAAAAACCATACATGTGCGTACCATCACCCATTTATGTGCCAAACGAAAAAAAAGTGTCGACCTTACAAGCTTCTTTTGTTTCAGCTTACCGGTCTGGCCACGGCGTGACAGGGGTGTGCCACCATCATTGCTGACCCGCTCTTTAACCTTGCGCGGCAAGTACTACGCAGTAACAAAAAGACAGTTGGCTGTAAAGCGCGTCGATACTCACGCAGTCTGCCCTCAAGACGGCCCAACGCCAAAGGGGCCAAAAAGAAGACGGCCCTAATGCCAACGGGTACCTTGAAGACGGTCCAATGCCAACGGGTCGAAAAGCAGCACCTCTACTTACTTCCGTTCGATTCGATTCGATTCGATTCGATTCGATTCCCCGGTGGAGCACAAGAGACACAGAAGTTGTCATCGTGACAGCCGTCAGAAGGAATCATTAATTTTTCGGTGTCGCCGTTACGGTAGCGCTCACTTTTAAAAAGCTTCCCATCTCCATCTCGACTACTCTTTGCTGCGCACGTGCATTGATTGCTTGCTGCACCGCGCCGCAAGCCGGTCGTTCATGTTCGTTTCTCCGGAAAATGTCACGAAAATTACATGACGAAGACGACCACCAAGAGGCGAAAATTGCACCGCACCACTGTGCATCGCGCCGCAAGCCGGTCGTTCATGTTCGTTTCTCCGGAAAATGTCACGAAAATTACACAACGAAGACGACAACCAAGAGGCGATGAATGCACCGCACCACTGTGGATCGCGCCGCAAGCCGGTCGTTCATGGTCGTTTCTCCGGAAAATGTCGGGAAAATTACACAACGAAGACGACCACCAAGAGGCGATAATTGCACCGCACCACAGTGCATCGCGCCGCAAGCCGGCCGTTCATGTTCGGTTCTCCGGAAAATGTAACGAAAATTACACAACGAAGACGACAACCAAGAGGCGATAATTGCACCGCACCACTGCTGTGCATGTGCTGCCCCTTGAGAGGGCCCCCACCAAAAAGCAGACGACACAGATGCAACAGCGTCATCGCTCGGTTCGATCCTCCCCTCCCCTCCCCCCGGTCTCCCCAAAACTAGACGGGTGCGCAGCATCGCACACAAGCACACGTAGTACGTGCTGCATGTACCACACCGTCTTCTTGACCAAAACAAAAACAAGCACCAATATGCTCATCATGTACTCTTTTAGTTTGTCACTCTCCCTGCTCACTTGCCATTGAACCTCTTCAGCACCTGTGAACGCCTAAAAGTTGAAAATATTTACATTTTACACCCCCGCTTGAGCTGGCTCAAAGAAAGGGAGACGAACGCCGCCGGCACTGCTGCTATGGGGAGCACGCAAAAACATCCACCGGCAAAAATCAACGGACGCTCTACAGACTGATGGCCGGCACACTAACGCACAGAATATAAGACACATCGACAACGACAACGACAGCTCGCCCTTCTCCTTTCGTCCTCTCGAGGACACGTGGTCAATAGTCTATCCGCCAAGGCATGCAACACATGAGCGTACAACCCCCCCCCGCGCGCGCCCCAAAAAGAAGAGGCAATACGAAACCCATCCAACACGTTTCGTCTTCTCTCTTACTTGGAGGGATCGCTGACTGCCTAAAATAAAACAAAAAAACTGCTACTATAATAGCGACCCCCTCGAAAATGGTTCATCATCCAAAGGCCAGAAACTCGACAGCTTTTGGCGAACCGATTTTCATTCCTATTTGTTTACAAATCAAAAGCAAGGAAGCATCCCCCACCCCCTCCGGCTAAGTCTCATCCCACAGTCAAAAACTTCGGTTCTAGGGGGCCCAGCAGGTCAGCAGCCATTCATCCCAGGCCGGCTGGCAGTCCAGGGGCTTCGTAATCCCCATGGAAATAAAAATAAATCCAAACATGCTACAACCATATCCAAATAGCCTGCCAACCAGCTTTTCATGAACGGCGAGACTTGAGTGTTTATCCGCATGCAGAATCTTGCTGCCCCTCTCGTTCTCGGAGATCGCCGGATAGGGTAGGTAGTTCCATCGCGTTCTCCGGATATCTCATACATCAGTGTCCAAAAAGAGTCGTTTGTTCACGGGATGGCATTTCCTCCACGGGATGAGGTGATACCACGGCAAACGGGATGGTTCCGTGGGGTTTTCCTCTCTCGGGATGGACAAGACCGACGAACACTGCCTTTTCTGTTGTGTGTCTGTCGTCCGAACGATACTTCGACCGTCCTTCGCCAACCGGCGGCGACGATCAGTCGTCGCCCCGTCAGAGCTTAACGCAATCAAAACCTCCAAAGGCGGATGGTTGGCCGATTCCCTCAACGCGGCAAGCGCGTTGCGCCGAGACCTCCCGCGGCAACATCAACTCTCGATGTCTTCAACATAACCGATTTCTCGGGGTCTTTACAGCAGCTCAACGGCGAAGACGCAGACGCCCCGAGAACTCCTGGCAAAACCGAGAGCGCTACACAGGTCTCCCAGGAATCGAGAGTGTTACACTCAAGGAATTATCCCAAGCTCTCCCAGCAATCGAAAGCGCTACACAGAACAATCGAGAGCGTTGCACCCATGGAATTATCCCCACCTGCCCCAGCAATCGAAAGCGCTCCGCTCAAAGAGCTATCTCCAGCTTTCCCAGCCATCGAAAGCGAATTACTCAAGGATCTATCCCGGGCTCTCCCAGCAATCGAGAGCACTTCGCTCAAGGAACCATCTCCACCTCTCCCAGCAACCGAAAGCGCTTCACTCAACGAAGCATCCTCAGGTATCGCAGCCATCGAGAGCCTTCCACTCGAGGACTATCCCCACCTCTCCCAGCAACAGCGCGCTAAACTCAAGGAACTATTCCAAGCGCTCCCAGCAGCTTTGTTGTGTCTGGGGAGGCGGTGGGAGGCGTGAACGACATCCGGGATAAGTTCCCCGCTTCCCCCCCCCTCCCGTTCGGGGCAGGGCTAGCCGCTGCGACCGTCAACTTTCCGTTTCCTAACGCCTTTCCGTGATGGTGGACCGGAGTCGCATACCTGTGGACAACAGAGCAACAGGTCGAGGTCTGAAGGTTAGGCCACATGTGTTTACTTGTAAGGATGCTGTTCATTTGACACCAACAAAGAAGCAGCAGCAGCAGCAGCAACCACAAAACCGCGGTAGCACTACCAACCATCAACAGTAGCGCTAGCAGCAACCACAACAACAGTAACAACAGCAACAGGAGAAACAAAAACAAAAACAAAAACATCAACACTATCACCAACACCCACATGAACGTCTCATCATCATTGACAACAACAACAACAACAACAACAACAGCAGCAGCAGCAGCAGCAGCAGCAGCAGCAGCAACCACAACAACAGTAACAACAGCAACAGGAGAAACAAAAACAAAAACAAAAACATCAACACTATCACCAACACCCACATGGATGTCTCATCATCATTTACAACAACAAACAGCAACAGCAACAGTAGCAGCAGCAATAGCAACAGCAACATCACCTGCTGTCCGCGGTCGGGGTGGCCGGGGGACAGGCAAATACAAAGCTCTTGCTGTCGCGGTGCACAGCCTCCTCCAAAAACTTGGCCTTGTCTGCCTCCAGCTTCAGACGCTCCTTTCCTAGCTCCTGTAAGTCCACATCAGGAGAATCGAATCGCATGATACAAGAGCAACAGGGGGGGGGTAACGGGAACAACATCAGTGTTGCCATTGGAGCAATTGTTCAAGGTTGCATGCTATGCCGACGTCACCTCACGATAATGAATAGTGCACGAGACACAAACTCGTGAACCTTTTGTTTTTTCAGGCTGGAGGACGGCGCACAGTTTTGGTGTAATTTCACGCTGAGACGAAGTCGAGGCAAAAGTTTAACAGCCAAAAACCTTACTACTAAAATACGTGTCCTCGGTCCGGGGGTGCTATCCCCCGATTACATATTTGTTCCTCCAAGTGATGGGACGCTCTCTCAGCAATGCTGCTTCACTGCAACCAGAGTTTGGCATCATGTATGTAGCTCTTGACCACGAAATCCGGTTCTGTGCCTTTCAAGAGTGCTGCAGAGAAGGCGCTGCCTAACATGGATGGATCAGATCAGATCAGATCTTCAGATCTCACGTGAGAAAAACAAGAGACAAACGACGAAAACAAGAACAGTCCGAGTGCAAACCAAAATATCCCTTCTTGCACCTGCGGCATCCCAACAGTGCCGAGGGAAAGTCTCATTCACGCCACCACCTTTTACGAATGAATGGCCTCAAGATGACCCCCCCACACACACACACACACAAAACGTTAACTGAAAAAAACTTTCTGTTTTCGTCTTACTGCTGCGGACCACCCCCTCCGGTCACGATCATACTTACATACTTCCCATCTGTCGTGCAACAGAACAACACAGCAACCCCTGGCCGATCAAATTGGTCATGCTAGCGGACGAGGGCTACAAACAACAGACCCGCCGCACCACACACAATTTCCAAGCCAAAGGACACACACGTAGCTGTATGCATAGCAGCGCTGCAGCAGCAGCAGCAGCAGCGGTGATGCGCTCCCATGACGGCGGCGATAGCTACAACGCGATTCGAACCTCACCTCCCTCTGCTGCTCCAGGCGCTCGAGGGAGTCCCATGCGCCTGACCCCCCCAAGTATACGCCGTCGTCTCCTCCGAACATACATCGATCTTTGTTAGCGGCGCTGGTTCCAGCACCCGGCCTGAACGAACGTCATACAAACACCCGAGGCCAGAAGGGGGGACGGGGGGGGGGACGGGGGGGTAGAGACAAGAATGTTGGAGGGTAGCGAATGGGAGATGTGGAAAGGGCGATGAGGGGCGGGGGGGGGGTAAACACAAGAACGTTGGAAGGCAGCAATGGAAGGTGTGGAAAGGACCATGAAGGGGGGGGGGAAAAACAAAAACGTTTGAAGGCACCCATGGAAGGGGTGGAAAGGAAGAAGAAGGGGGGGGGGGAAAAACAAAAAACTTTGAAGGGAACAAAGGGAGGGGGGGGAATTACCAAGGGGCCTGCGGGAAAAAGGAAACCACTGGGCGGGTTCAAATCCCCTTCCCCAAAAAAGGACGTTATACTTTCCCCCATACTGGTGTG